AGGCATCCTCCTGCTCCTGCTGTTTGTGCGCATGCCCCATCAGGGGGCTACTGACCACCCATGAAACAACAAACCCTGAACAATTTACAGCGCATCCCCACATACTGCTGTGTTGTCACAAATATGAAAAAGCATGATGCAACAACAGTAAATCTTCAAATAGGAGATGGTTTATGCACCAAGCTCAACCCCTGCTCCCAGGGATGGCTGCTCCTTGTTACCTGCATTGCCCCTTCAAAGAGCTGCTCCATGATACAAAACCAATGAGCCTAATTCATATGCACTGGTATAAAAGGGGAGCAATTTCTAAAAATGTCATGAACCCACTGACCTCAGTATAGCAGTCAGAAGACATTCAGAAAAAGGAGGGAAGTGCATGCAAGTCACCCTACTTTGCTGGTACGCTACACCCATCTCTTGAACCATCAGGGGACTTGCTTTCAATGGCATTCCCCCCCCCACCCCCACAGCACATGCCCCTGAGCAAGCACACAAAAGTTGCACTTCCTCCAAGAGAGGAGGAACAACAGAATCAGGGCATCACAGTCCTGGCCGCAAATGAGAGGTTACAGGCAGATGCTTAGGGTAAGCTAAAAGGGCAGTTTATGAGTTGTGTGCATCTTGCATATAAAGGCCCTGCTTGAAAACAATCTTTCATAAGCAGAAGTGCTTTTTATTTGAACAGTTATTTACCACTAACAAAGTTCTTACAGCATTCACATACAGACTTTCATTCCATTGGCAAAGGTTAAAGTGTTGGCCTTTTATTCAGAAGACCTGGCCCGTTTCCGATTTTGTAGACATTTTTGCATGTCCTTCAAGTCAAATAGCTCCTAGTTTCATACCACAGCATCAGTCTACCACCAAAAAAAAAAAAAAACCACACACTCCATGATGTGATACAGTATAAAGAAACAAATATAGTTAATGCACTAAAGAAGTGAACACATGCTAAGTGGATTATTTACATAAAATTACCTATGTTCTTGTAAGATGGGCAGTATGCAAGTAAAAGAATTAGTAAGATTATTTATACCAGATCTGCTAGATATTTAAAGCTGATCTACCTTGGCTGTATCCATATTGGCATGCTGGTTTTAAGGCTCAAGTTTGCCCTCAGGATCTAGCTTCCTCAATCATCCACACAACATATGGCAAGCTCTCACATGACTCCCTCCATGGCAGGCTGTGTATATGCACATGGCTGAAGCTACCTGTCCAAACTCAGGCGGTGCTTGCAAAGCTGTATAGATGCAGCCTACTGCTATCTCCTCTCCATTAACATGGCATTACTGGTACAGCTGCATATACCTGGTTAAAAATAAGACACAACTAATTGTTTACTATAACACCTTAAGTAACATGGAATCTTACATTTTACAAAAATATTTTAATTGTCAGTCCACAAGTAAAAACTATCACTATTACAAAAAATCTTGTAATACTAGAATGTCTATCTTGGAAAGAATTTTGTTCTTATTGCTGTTGCATGTGCAGTTTTCAGGAGCTATGTCAGGGTGAAGATATTAGTGGGTTTCCCCACTTACCATAGTCAATTTGTAAGGATATTCACAGAAAAACACAATTCTCTATTAATCCTTAGGTAACTTTTACATGTTCAGGCTGCCCTGACTTTTTTTCCAAACAGGTGTGTAATTTGCACCTGAAAATTTGTATCAAAGTCTTACCCAACTTAAACTGCTTGTTATCACAAATATTATTTGCAGCCTTTAGAAACAAAAACACTCACTCCAAAAAGAGCGAATACCAACATTTACATCACCTTAGCTACTTGAAAATCCTGTGACTGTGTTCTGACAGCTATCAGATATTAACTCATTCATTTCATTTTGTTTGGTTTCTTCTTTAGTCTCATGGCTGGGGTGATGTTTTGGATTTCCAGCCTTTCTAGACCTTTTGAGGAAGAATTTTGCCAACAAGTAACATAACTCAGCCACATTTAAGAGAATGCAAATGCTGGACACAGCAATCATGAAAATAGTAAACACTGTCTTTTCAGTAGGCCGAGAAACAAAGCAGTCTACTGTGTTGGGGCAGGGCCAAGCATTACATTTCATTAAGCGAGGCATGTGGAACCCATCGTACATGAAATAAAACGCATACATGAAGACTGCTTCAAAGACCAGTCTGAAGAAGATGCTGCTGGTGTATGTCCACCACAAGGAGCCCTCAATATGAAACTTTTGTGTTCTGATTTCTTCAATGTCTTTATATTCACATTTCCGATCTCCCTTTCTGAACTGCCTTTTCTTCTCATGCCTTCTGTAAGCTACATGCATGGCCACCAGGAGTGCAGGTGTGGAAACAAAGATTAGCTGCAGGGCCCAGAGTCTGATGTGAGAGATGGGGAAAAAATGGTCATAGCAAACATTTTTGCAACCAGGTTGCAGCGTGTTGCAGACGAAATCATCTTGTTCATCTCCCCAGACTCTCTCTGCAGCCACTACAAGGATCATGATACGGAAGATGAACAGCACAGTGAGCCATATCTTCCCAATACTGGTGGAGTGTTTATTTACGCCTCCTAAGATAGTGTGCAGAGCTCCCCAATCCATTGTCTTGTTTTAATTGTCTGACCTAAGAGAAGACAAACAAAATAAAGATTAATCAACATGGGAAAGAAACGCTATCAAACATGTGCCATAAAATAAAGGCAATATTGCATGATTGCAGGATATCTGTTGGCTGTGGTAACAGTTTGCTGGTCTTGTCTATAAGCAGTCCAAGTGACATATTATTAATCTCATCACATTATCAGGTAAAATAATTACATGTATGTGCAGATTAAAAAAACATTAACATACTTTAGGTCTATCTGGCCAACTGAAAATAGCCACATCAATGTGGAAAATCCATCAGGGAAAACTGATGAAGTTAGCTTTTCATTGAAGGCTACAAATTCTGGATAACAGTTTGATAACAGTGACAAAAGAATACCACACAACATCAGCCGTCAGAAGTAAGGTACATTTTAAATTATAACCAGCGTTAGAGATGCAACTATTCAGAGCCCCTGGAATTTTCAGGAAAAAAAAAGATGCAGATGGTTAGATTCAGAGCTCCAACAGAAAATTATAGAAGTTTTCAGTTTCTGTTAAGTTTTCTATGTTCTTTTAAAGTAACTTTATTTGGAAAAAACAAACAGTATTAGATAGCTAAAATTCCTATATAACTTAGTTCAAGTTTGGCATTCCTTACTTTTACAGTGCAAACAACACTGCCATGAGCACGTTCCAGGAATAAAGGCAGACACTGAGGAACAGTTATGGAAGTTCTGTAGCTTACATGGGCAGGTCTGGATAACCTACATTTGAGAGTTTTAACCGTATAACCGCAGAGCTCTCTGGGCCATTAGCTGAAACAAATCTCACCACAGTTTGAGGCAAAGGTGAGACTAGGTCATGATTATCTCACCTTGAGGCAGATGTTTAAACCCTGTGCAATGAGTTTCACCCCAGAACTCCCTTTTCTCTCCACTAGCTACAAAGAAAGCCTCAGGTAACCAGATGCCGGCAGCTTCACAGCAGATGCCTAGACAGATGACCTGCGTTCATAACAGGCTGCATTACTCCTAGAGTATGGGAGAAGTCTTGGAGGCTGGGAGAAAGCTACGGTCAACATTGGAAGAGTTCAGAGAGGCCCAACAGTATCTCTGATCTGATACATCTCTTCAACATAAACATAGTTTCAACTCTTCAACATAAACATAGTTTCCAACATAGTTTCCATTAGGTGAACTTCAAAGTACTAGGACTGTACTACGTGAAAGTATTTCACCTTAGTGTCCCACGTACCTCCCCAGAACCACTGCAACTTATTTGGAAGCTAAGCCATCAATTTAGCTACAAGAGCCATTCAAACCGCATTAAGAGGCATTTCCCCCTTCAGATGGATTTACAATAACTTGCAAAATAATTCAGATTAATAAAAACAGACATTTCTGGTGACAGCCAGGCCTCATCCTGTGGAAGTGCTCACACAGCTCTTGGCTCTGGAAATCCCTCATAAAGGGTTTTCTTCTCCACACAGTGCATTTTCTTTTCTCAGGAACTCTTTGGTGCCCTGTGCTGTAAAGGCCAAAGAAAGCACATTCCTGTTGCAAGGTTTCTAGAGGACAGAACAGTAGTCACTGGCTTGAAGGCCATCATATCTATCATGTGACAGAAGAAAAATCTCAAGATTCCCAACACACTGCACAAGACAAAAAGGAAGACTGGCTTTTCTGCAGCTATCTTCAGCATCAACACTTCTATTCTGAGCAAAGTTGAAAAAACTTCCCAGTTTACAACAAAATTATACATAATCAGTAAGTACAATATAAGCATCAACATCAAATATAAAGCAAAGTACATGATAGCTCAGGAAAAAAATAAAGAAACTGAATAATGCCAGAAATAAAAGGTTATTTTTTTCTTGAGTTACTACAACATCAGGGTAATCTCCCTTCATTGCTCCATAAAACACACTTTCCTCAGATAGTGCTGGCTGACTAAGTGGGGTTACATCAGGAGGTGAAGGCCAGCGAGGAAAACCTAAGCTTTCCTCCAGACTGAAGAACCTTCTCCTGAGCCTTCTTCAGGCTGCAGAATTTATGTAAGCTCTTACCACAGCATCTTACAGAAAGCAACCCTAGAAGCAGAGTCACCTTCCTAACCTGCTAAGTAGTTCTTCCAGAAAAAAGAAAAAAAAGTATTTTTCAGTAACACACAAATATAGAAAGAAAATAAAGTCTCTAAAAGTTAACAAACCTATGAGGGCACAGGAAAACACTTGAGTCCAGAGATCCTTACAAGGGAACTAGTTAGACTTCCAAATATTTAGTTCCACTCCATTGTTTTATTTTTGCCATCTGTTTTGACTTAAACCCCAAAACCAAAAACCACACACAGACACATAAGAACAAAAAAACAACCACAGCCTTACTAGCACAATTTGCTTTGGAGATCATAGAGATCAACTTCTAATTGGAAATTTAGAACTAGTTCTCCATTTCTGCTCTTGTTCATGTTCTGTTACTTACACATACCCCTTGCAATTCAGGTATCTATAAACTGACATTATAGCTAAGTATCATGGCTAGAAATACTTACGCACAACTGAACATAAAACCTGTAAAAAGACAGACACCATATAAACTGTTGCATTACACACACATCATTCACCCATCCATGGATTCTTGCATTTCCCAAATTTACGTCCTTGCTTTCTGCTCTTAGCTATTGTTCCTTCCTCTTCTTCCTGTCTGGCAGCCATCTCCTTACACAGAGTCCACTTTTCAGTCTTCCATATTGTATCCTCTCCTCTCACAAGCCCTTTTCTATGCTTCACCTTTTTTGCCTGTACATCAATGCTTTTGCCTTTCCATTGCTACAGCTTCCCAAGGATGTGCCTCCACATGGCATTACTCCTTCCTATCTTCCTGTGTAGAAGGAGATTCCAAAAATAAGAGTGCCTCAGGATGTAGTTAAAAGATACTGTGCCTTTAGTGGCAAAGTGAAAAACACTTCCCCACCACGGTTTGTTCCTGCAGTTACAGCGTAGTTCATCTCCTGCAGAGATTTGTGGGACTGCACTACAAACTAGATTACTAGAGTGACTTGGTAAAGAGTTATCCCCAGTACAAAGTATGTTTTCGTTTTTTTTTTTAAACTGAACCATTTCACCCACCTAATTTAAAGCATACACCCACAAAACATTTCAAAAGCAAAACTTTACTTCAAACGGGCTGCAAATTGCAAAGCAGCCAGTGGAAGAGAAAAGGGGTTGGGGAAAGGGGAAGAAACCATCTTCGCTGCCAAAGACAATATATGGTGAAATTACACCCTCAATTTGACTTGCTCGATCTCCTTTGAGAGTCTATTGAGCTAAGCCACAACAAGGTGCTTCAATCCTAGCAAAAGCACGTCCAAACCAGAAGGCATGCAGAATTAGCCACTACACTTTGGAGTGGCAGCCTTTCCTGATCTGACCTAATTGGCAAGTACAAACAAGCCGCGAGCCTCCTAGTGCAATTTCCCCTCCTAATCCAGAGTGTCTCATATCTGCTCAAACCCACTTCACCATTCCCACCTACCTTTCCAAACTCTCCAACTACCTCTTCCACTCCTCCTTTCACCATTCTTATTCTTCCCACTGCTTGCCGAGCTAGTTACCAACCTTTGCCCCTCCACACTCCAGCTTTTCTCAGTTTTGTTTTTATGTTGTCCGAGTCACACGACCTCTGGGACACGGTTTGATCTGGGCACTGATTACCAGCTACCACAACCCATAAAGGCAGCAAGTCTCATTATATTCTCCTTGAAGAGTTACACAGTTAAGATTTTAGGGCCAGATTCAGGCAGCTTGATTTCTACCCAAATACTCTGAGCCCAGTCTTTCCTCCTAGCTAGCTTTAGCTATCTTTCATCAATGTCTTCATTAGATCCTCTCAACTGCAATTCAAAGACTGACAACATCTGTTTAGGCACAAGGACTAAAGTGAAATTTAACTCGACTGCATATGGCCCTTCACACTGTTAACCCATCAGTGCAGAAGATCACTCCAGCTATGCATACTCTGTTGAAGCCTCCCTCTGTTGAGGTCTGGGCAACCTGTAGCAATATGAAGGCTCATTTATTCTTAACTACTCAAAATTAGGATGCTGACTCATGATCACTGGTTCTTTCTTCCACATATTTGCTTTTCAGATCTTTTTACTAGCAAGTAAAATATTAATTGCCTGTCTTGCTGATCAAAGGAAAAGATAAAGCAGGGAAGTTACTTCCATTTAACAGGCGGTTAACTCATTTTCAGAAAGCTAGCCCAGTTGCTAGTATGATGTGTAGCAAATCAAGCTAAATGCCCACAGAAATATTACAGTATGTAGACAGTCAAAGACTTACCCGCTTTCCTCATTCTGGAAGTACAGCCCTCATCTCCTGGAGAGTACAAGAATAAGTGAAAGACAGGAAGGCTTGAGTGAAATATGGGGTGACAAAAGTAATTAGGAATGAAAGAGGGGACCAGAGATAAAGAAAGAAACTGGAAAGATCAGAAGACAGCTGAAGTCAGTGAAGTTGAGTAACTGAGCGTTCAGAACCCACTTTAAAATGAGACTATGCCATTTTTAAGTGTTGAATTTTCCTAAAAGGAGTTTGAAACGTAGCATGAAGATAAGTCTTTCCATGTATCAGCATAAAGCTCTGCTCCGCTATCAGCGGATTGTTCTGTTCCTCCATATGGACAGTGAGAGGAGTACAAGAGCCCAGCCGTGAGAGTTAAAAAATGATTGTAAGAGACCACCATACTCCACTGAAAAGTTAGTTATGAAGGAAATCATTCAGTATGGTCACACAATATGGAGAGAGGTACAAGTTAGCTTGCCAGCGCAAAAACTGAGGTCCTGGTAGTAAGCTAGACACAGCAGCAAGAAGAGAACAATAGCCTAACCATTTCTGCAGTTCTCTACCTTCTGGGTAGGTTTCAAGCTCTGCTGCCATGCTCACTACTTTAAAAGGTAGCTCTTGTAAGCCTACATTAAACTAACCACAGCATTATACATAAATCCACTAAAAATCCCTGTAATACACAACACCAAGGACAGTTACTGAGCTCTTGTTTTATGACAAGAGTTAGTTAGCAGATACTTTTCTTCACTGTTAAAGGCGGTTATACTTATAAATCATTAGACAATAGTTGTGGCTTTCTGAAGTAAGATCTAACTAGAACACAACGAAGAAAAAAGAAAATACACTACTTCCATACACACAGCATGGAACTCTCTGCCATAGGATACTACCAAGTGAGACTGTGGTAAGATGAGAAGTGTTTGTACAATATTTGCTTATGTTACAGAAGCATGAGACACAGTCAGAAAGGGGTCCCCAATAAGCTAACTCATGTATGTGCTCAGAATAAGATTATGCCTGTCTCCCTACACCTACCCCTTGGATACTAACCTACTTATTCTGCTGGAGTTACACAGGAATGTGGAAGATGGTTATGATGCCTCTGAACTTTGGTCCTGACCAGAGCTGGGGACAAAGATAACTGACAGTAGCAGTTGTAACACAGAATTTTTGCCACAGAAACATTTGAATTTTAAATTGCTTCAGAGCCAAGATAGTTATCAAAATGATCTTATGACCCACATTCATACAAGAAGCATTTTATGTTGGGGGCTCGCATGCATTTAAAGGCTTTACCAACACAACTTTCACTCCAGGTCTTGATCTAGACAGTTATGCAGGCAGCAGCACAGTATAGGGGTAGGTACCAGCATCAAGGTGTCCTAGAGCTGTGTATGCAGTTTCATGCCCAGATGTGAAGAACAGGCAAATCCTGATGTTTAGCAATGTTATAGCAGTATACTTTCACCCTGCCAAACTAAGATCTAGTTTATTGCCAAGTAAAACAGCATACACCTAACAGCAGGTGTGCAGATTGTCATTCCTATTGTTGAGCTGTACTCAGTTTTACTGAGGCTCGCTGCGGTGCTGTATCACAAGAACAGTAGGGCCAGGACCCAGCCCGGGAAGCTTCTCATGAATACAGAACAGATTAACATCTTTTCCGAAGACAGCTTCTTTTTATTTCACCAAGAAAGGCAGGCATACAGGCTACAGCACTCACTTGCGAGCTCTCCCAGACTTGCCACATAATTTTCAGCTCACTTTTCCAGGCATTAAACTGGGGACAAAAGGATCTCAGTACCTCACAGGGTTGTTGTGAAATGCTCCACTACTGCTGTAGGTTTCACAAATTTATGCTTTGGTATAAGTGGCCCAAAACAGGTAAGCACCATTTCAGAGTAGAAGGAGAAATACAGAGCTTGAATTCAGTCATCTAGGATGTTCCTGTTATTGGAAAAAGGACACAGCTGCCTACATCACCATAGCTTTAATGCAGAGTTCAAACCGCAAGAAGATGCAGCTTTGAATTCAGACTTGGCAACCAGAGTCCTTTCATTTCACTATTAAAGTGAACTTTCAAAATTTTAATCTTACAGCAGAATATTAAAAACCTCAAGGAGCATCCAGCTGGAACACTTAAACAACAACTTTACTTTTTTAGCAGAAGTTGAATAAGGATCAGAAGAGCAGTATAACCACCACAAAAGCCTGTGCAATCCACTCCAGCAGCTCTTAAACTCTTCTGAACACCTATCTCCAGATCAGTGGAAACTGGAGAGCAACAGAAAAGCTGTGGCAGACAGGGATTGCAGTATATCTGATTTGACACAGGAACAAGCAAAGCCTATTTGGGAACAGGAAACCTCAATGGCAGTTGCAG